TGGAAGATAAATTACAAGATGACATTGTCTATACCCTACAAGGAAAACCTTTACAAAATGTTCTACCGATGGCACCTCCCACCGGCGCGCCTAGCCAAGATGTTCCCAAATACATCTCCGATGTGCTGGAAATGTAAATCACAGAAAGGGACATATTATCATCTCTGGTGGCTATGCTGAAGGGCAAAACAATACTGGCAACAAATTAAAACAATGATTGAAGAAATTACGAAACAAAAACTGGAAATGAGGCCGGAAACCTTTTTATTGGGAATAATCACAACACAATATACCAAAGAAATAAAATATTTGATCATCCATATCCTCACAGCAGCACGTATACTCTTTGCCCAACATTGGAAATCTGAACAGTTACCCACAGAAGACAAAATAATAGCTAAAATCACAGAATGTGCAGAATTGGATAAGCTCACAAAAGAAATACAAGAGAAAGATGATACTGATTACTATTTAGTATAGCAAAGATGGTACAACTGGCTGGAGGCAAAAATAGGAATATAAAGATGATTTTCGAGTACTCAATAGAAATGCATAGAAGTAAATAAGGAGTCAATTATATATGTACATATACAACTAAGTAAATAGGTGACTGTAAATATTGATACAAATAGAAATATGAAAAATAACCCACCGTTGTAATATCTTCTAAGAGTCAGTCATTGGACTGAATTGATGTGTGTTCAATTGCCACCGTGGCTATCACATCGAGTAGCTTGGGCAGGGAGCCAGGTACGTAAGCAGCAAGCCCATCTGAACCCCATGACCCCATCTCACAAAATAAGAAAGTGCCTCCTTATCACAAGGACACAAGATCTACCCTTCCCCTCTTACTAACCAGGAGAAAATATGATTTTACATTTTATTTTTATTTTTCACTTTTTTGTCTTTTAGAGAAAATATGGTGTTAATATTTTAAATTATTTTCTTGAATTCAAAATTCTCATTTTTATAGGTATTTATAAGAAGTATTCTTTGCTGCCAATTCCCTCTACTTTTTCTCTGAAGAAAGCAATATGTATTATTATGCAATTTGAATTGAGTCAAAAAAAAAATCCTTGACTTAAAAAAAATGTAAACAGTGTTTATGTCCTCTAGGTTCTGTAAAGGGCAGAGGGAATGGCTTTTGTGGACAAGAAGAAGAGCCATTACCAAAGCAGCTGTCAGATAAGAGGAACCTGAAACCAGGCCCAGAAAGTAGCTTGAAGGAATGTCTCAGACCAACCGCTTCCTAATCCACATGAAGATAAAAGGAGGGAGAGGGAAGCACATGTAAACTTCCCTAAGGATTTCCCTGGTTTAGAACAATTGCAGAAAACCAAAGTGTTCAGAATTCCATTTTATTCAGAGACATCTCTTTAGGTTTGTTAAATATTTCGGGCAGGGATGAAATGCGAACTGGTAGTGATAAAAACTAAAAAAAAAAAAAGTTGGCCATGCCCACCCAGTCATATGACCCATCCCCCACCAAACCACACCCACCAAGCCACACCCACAGAACTGGTAGCAAAAATGTTTGCATTTCCCCACTGATTTCGGGTGTTTTTCAAACCATGGATTGAAAAACTCTTAAAATGTATAAAAACTGTGTGAGCTCATCCAAGCTTTCTCCCTCTTCATTATCTGAAGGAAACCTCTTGGCTCAGGATTTTTTGAGAAGCAGCCATCTTCTTCCCTTTAGGAAGGAATGTCAGTATAATAATTTATATTAAAGTTATTTCTAAAAGACTGCATTAATTTGGGCATAACCATCCAGCTTCCTAAAAGAGTGATTCTATCCAAAGTGGATAAGGAAAAGCAGCTACTTAGGCAGTGATGAAAACTGCAAATACCTGAAAATTGGAATATTCTATTTGCATGCTGCTAATAAAAAAAATGGCAAGAAAGCAAGGAAAGAAAGAAAGAAAGAAAGGGAAAATGTACATATATTAATGCAATATGAATAGTTCATTTTTCCACTTATGCAAATAACTCTAAATCAGCCTGCTGCCAGCAACAGCCTCCCACTGGCCAATACGCTCCCACAGAGAGGGGCTCTTCAGGGTGCCATCGGCCAGACAATGCCGACTGGCGACACCCGGAGGAGAGCCTTCTCTGTGGGGGCACCAGCCCTCTGGAATGAGCTGCCCCTTGAGATTCGTCTCATCCCCGACCTGCGTACCTTTCGCCGCGCTTTGAAGACCCTCTTGTTCCAACAAGCCGGCCTGGCCTAATACGAATTTTAGAATGGGTGTATGTGTGTTTTAATCTATGGGCCAAATTTTTATATATTCAATTTTAAATTTTGTATATTTATATGTGTTTTAATATGGCTGTATACCGCCCTGAGTCCTTCGGGAGAAGGGCGGTATAGAAATCTAATAAATCAAATCAAATTAAATCAAACTCTAAATCAGGGGTGTTAAATTCACGTCATCATGGCTGTGTCATGTGACGTATCAGGACTTTTTCCCCCTTCAGTAAACTGGGTGTAGGAATGGCCAATGCATGACACATCTGGCTAGCAGGCTGGAAGTTTGATAGCCCTGCTCTAAATGGTCTGAAATATGAGTGTGCTGATAACCTCTTTTAGATTGAAATTCAATTGTACTTTCATCTTCAGAATATGTTTGGTCCCATTCCTCCCACCTTAGCTATATTTTGTTGCATCTCAAATCTTCTTCCCTTGTTATTTGAGGAACTGCAAAAGGGCATAAATCAGATGCTAATTTTACCCTGAATAATTTGTTTGAGAATGGGATCACTGTTTAGATATAGAAAAATCTATGTTGCAATAGGGCAAATATGTTAGAGAGTTCAGCAAATCAGTTTATTCCCTTTCGTATCTCCCTCCACATTTTTCATTACTCCTACAACTGTTATTAGTTATTAACTAAACTGCCTGACTCACTTAAACAATATAAACAATAAGCAAAACAATATTATAAATATATGAAGTAGAAAGAAAGATATTTTACATTATCTCTTACATATATTTATTAATTTACTCACAGTATATGTGAGATTTGTTAGGTTAGCCAGCTTCTAAATTACTCTGTGTTATTTACAATATATCCAATACAGAAGTTTTAAAAGCAGCTAAAACAACATGAGTGCTTGTACCAAAACTGCATTCTCACTGTTTAGAAAAATTACTCAACAGGGATTCTAACCCTAGAATATTCTAACCCTAAACCTGATAACAAAGCCACATTGCAATGGAAAATCTCCCTTACACAAAGACCAGGTTTGGTCAATTTCTGCTGTGATATGGTTGAAGGTTAGGGTTAGGGTTTTTTAAATTTTTAAATTTTCTGGGTTTCAAAAGCATTTTTGCTCCCTATAGATTTAAGCATTAAGCATTTAAGAAAAAAACCTAGTGATTCTGGACAAATTGACTTCTTACAGATTTCTTATTACACAACCCTAGAATCTTTCAAGCTAATAAATATTATTTTGATATTTCTGAGTGAGTTTGTATGGTTCCCAACCCGTGGTCATCCAATGATAGAAGTTAGTTATTCTATCAACAAATAATGAATAATTAAATGAATGAATGAATCATGGGTGAAATCCAGCAGGTTCTGACAGGTTCTGGAGAACCGGTAGCGGAAATTTTGAGCAGTTCAGAGAACCGGTAGCGGAAATTATGAGTAGTTTGGAAAACCGGCAAATACCACCTCTGGCTGGCCCCAGAGTGGGGTGGGAATGGAGATTTTGCAATATCCTTCCCCCAGGAGTGGGGAGAGAATGAGGAGTTTGCAGTATCCTTCCCCTGGAGTGGAGTGGGAATGGAGATTTTGCAGTATCCTTCCCCTGCCACACCCACCAAGCCACACCATGCCCACCAAGCCAGGCCCACAAAATCAGTAGTAAAAAAAATTGGATTTCACCACTGGAATGAATGAATGAATGATTAGTGTCCTCTGCGTTCCTCATGGGAAAATTTAATAAAATGAGAAAAAGATCTAATGTGAGAAAAAAATCTTGTTTGGCTCGGCTTCATTATGACGCATCCAAAATCTTTTGTCCGAAACTACTGAAAATCTTTTGTCTCCTCCTCCTCCTCCTCCTCCTCCTCCTCCTCCTCCTCCTCCTCCTCCTCCTCCTCCTCCTCCTCCTCCTCTTCTTCTTCTTCTTCTTCTTCTTCTTCTTCTTCTTCTTCTTCTTCTTCTTCTTCTTCTTCTTCTCCTCCTCGTCCCTCCTCCTCCTCCCCCTCCCCCTCCCTCTTCCAAAATCAATCCAGTAGGAAAAATACACAATGTTGTCCACAAGTAATTGCAATGGGTTGTTAAAATTGGTGAAATGTGTACTCCTCAACTTGTTGCTCTACAAACTTCACAATGACACCAGGGAAGTCGAGGGTATCTGGTGGTCTTCCATAAGAATGAAAAAATTTACCATATCCAGGAGATGGATATTGTCTATGTAATACACCACTCTTTCCCCCCTCCTCCCCAGGTTTTTTTTTGGGGGGGGGAATGATGAATATTTCTGACACCCCTTTCCAAACTTCCCCTTCAATCCTCATGTGATTGCCCCCTTAAGATATTTTTCCTTTCTTTTACATCTATATGCTAAAATTATCAATTACAATTATCTATAATCATTGTTTAAGATGAGCTGCTGTTTGATCATTCAGATTAATCAAAAGTTGAAAGGTAAAATGTATATATAAATTCTTCATTCCTCACTTGAGATAAATTTTGAAAATGTTATTTATGATGTTACCTTATAATTTATTTATTTATTTAGAAAATTTACATTGCCGCCTATTCGCACATGGATATTATTTTATCTGCCTTAAAGATAGTCTATAAACTTGTTTTTAAATGAGATCATTTCCCCAGTAATTATAGTTGGCAGAATTCGTCTTTTACAGACTAGGCTTTATAACTGTATGCAATCCAGCTTCATGTGGTCATGAAGAGAATGATATATTCATCTTCTGGTTTAAAGGGTGCTGCATATGTCCTGTTGTTCATTTACTTAGACCTGTAAAACAAAAAGTGAACAGTAAAGAAATAAATTTGCATCTGTATATTTTATGTAATTCTTTTTTAAACTGATTTATCTGATCTGCAGCAGAATGTAATAATTTTAAGATATCAAACTACATGGGAAAGAAAATTCAGTATCTACATTTTTACACCAAAGAAATTACTCAAGGGACTCAAAAGTTATTAAATTAATAGCCTGATTGTTAAGTGAATCAGGCTTTCCTATTGCTGGTTAGAAGGTCACAAAAGGTGATCACATTACCTTGGAATACAGCAACCGTCATAAATATGAGTCAGTTGCCAAGTATCTGAATGTTGATCATGTGATCATGGGGATGCTGCAAAGGTCATAACTGTGAAAAATGGCCACTTTCTTCAGTGCTGTTGTAACTTTGAACGGTCTCTAAATGGACTGTTGTAAGTCAAAGACTACCTGTAAAATGTTCACTACAGAAATGTTTGATATTTATATGTAAATCACAACAAAAATTTGTATTTCACTAATACCATTTGTATTCATTGCAATTTCAAACGTAATCCCCGTTGTACAATAATATTCCTGTGATCCAAATGAAATTCCTTCCATTCAGAGCAATGGGAGAGAAGTACTATGATTCCAAAACTGAAGACCAGAAGATCCCTCTGTCCTAAGGCTGAAATGAGTGGAAACTGTTATTTCACTTCAGTGGGTTATTTTCATTGATTCTATTGTCCTCAGTACAACAAATGCAATCAGTGTGCACCCTAAGTTTCCAAGAGAAAGCAAGTAATCTTTAGGTCGGGTCTGGTAGTCTCTTGAAGTCAATAACATTTCATTTAATGATTGATAATCTATCTCATCCAATTCATTTCAGAGGGTCTTCGTGTTCAACCTATTTTTTCATTTATTCTAAGGTTGGAAATATGGGATACCTTATTGTACATGTAATGAATGTTTTACAGTGCTTACTAATTCATTTAATTTTTTTTTAAATCTAGTCTTGGGTCTTTTGACAGATATTTACAGGTAGTCTTTGACTTACAAAGATTCATTTAGTGACTGCTCAAAGTTACAAAAAAAATGACATGACTATTTTTCACACTTATGACCGTTGCAGCATCCCTATAGTCACATGATCAAAATTTGAATGCAGGCAATTGTATCATATTTATGATGGTTGCAGGGTCCTGGGATCATGTGATCACCTTTTGTGACCTTCTGACAAGTAAAGTCAATGGGGATGCCAGATTTACTTGTCACTAACTTAACAACTGCAGTGATTCCCTTAACAACTGTGGCACAAAAGGTTGTAATATGGGGCAAAGTTGACTTAACAAATGTTTCACTTAGAAACAAAAATTTTGGGCTCACTTGTGGTCATAAGACAAGGACTATCTGTACAAATATGTATGTAGACACATGAGTAAATTGCATATGCAAGTTCAAAGGGAAGGAGAATATTTCAATATCAGTGGAAATGAAATAAATAAAGTAAAATGTATGGGCGTTCATTTGGAAACATTCATTCAAAGGCAATGAAATCAGTGAAAATAGCTCACTTAGTTTAAAGTAGAGTTTCCATCAGAGGTGGGTTTCAGCAGGTTCTGACCAGTTCTGGAGAACCAGTAGCAGAAATTTGGAGTAGTTTGGAATACCGGTAAATACCACCTCTGACTGGTGGCCCCCATCTATTCTCTGCCTCCTGAGTCCCAGCTAATTGGGAGAAAATGGGGATTTTGCAGTAACCTTCCCTGGATTGGGGAGGGAATGGAGATTTTACAGTATCCTTCCTCTGCCATGCCCGCCAAGCCACAGCCACCAAGCCATGCCACGCCCACCAAGCCACACCCACAGAACCAGTAGTAAAAAATTTTGAAACCCACCACTGGTTTCTACTCATTTCAGCCCCAGGACAGAGGAATTTCCTGATCTTGGAATCTGTTAGGATTTAGCAACAGACCAGAAGAGATGAAATGCTGGCAGATTTTTTTCCCCCTGTCCCATTCCTCTTTGTTTTTAAGTATTACCCCCGTCCCCATAGAACTTCTCTCCCATTGCTCTGAATGGAAGGAACTTTATTTAGATCACAAGGATCTTAACAAGTGTTTTGATTTAGAAGAACTGCAGAAGACCAAGTTACTTTAGAATCCATTACAACCACAACTTTAGTTGCCAGAGTTTTGGCCTTTTAAATATTTAAAGTGCTTTTGTCAATGCCTAGATATATAGGAATATAGCTATACTGTAGATATAGACAGAGGAAAGAAATGTTAATATTGGCAAATTAAAGTATTTTTATGAAAATATGCATATAGGAATGCAATCTGGATAGTGAAGTTTCCCTTCCATGCATTGAACTCTAAATGAGCTGGAACTTGGATGTGGTTGATAGCCTCTGATACATTGAAATTCAACAAGATTTCCCTCCTCTCTATATATTGAAAGCTTTTGCATCCACCTGAGCCTTATATTGTGTTGTCTCATATCTTCTTCACTTGTTGTACAAGGAGCTGAGAAAGATCAGATGACATATAAAAAATTTTACAGTAAAGAATTCCTTTGATAAAGAGATTAAAGTTTATGTGGAAAATTCTATGTTGCAATAGAGTAAAATAATTAGAGATCTGAGTAAATAGATTTTTCTCTTTCTTTTCCCCTCATTTTCCTTTTGTCTCTCAGCTGTTACAGTCATGAACTAAAGCACCTAAGATCCACAACGTCTTTTAAGCAAGACAATGTTCCTTGTGTAAAAGGCAGAAGAGTTCTAAGAGAATACAATAGTGGAATAATATACAGACACATACAAACACACAAAAGTATTATTCAAATATAAATTTCAAATCAGCCATGCTGGGAAGAAACAGGAGAAGAAAATAATTGTAGAATAACTATCTCTAACCCTTCAGCTATCAAATTTGAAAGTAAGAGCCTGAAATGAGTTAGTATTAGCTATTTATTGTAACAATTATCAGTTAATTTTATAATTACTGCAAAGTATAGAATACCTTCTATACTCTCTGTTGATTGAGGCCAGTTCTTTTCTTCCTTTTCCTTCATGAATGATTTTTGCAACCATCAAAAAACAGTGATAAATATATGATTGACTCAAAAGTCTGATTAGTATGACTATCTGAAAATATAGTCTCAGCTTCAGTGTCTTGTGAAGTGAATATTATCCTCCTTGTCTTTTTGTGAAAGATATAATCACCAATTTAGACATCCACTAATTTCTTTGCATTTATCCTGATATAAACCCAACTGAAATACATCTCTATAATTTCAGTCACTCTGATTTAGGAAGCCTTATGTTAGACATGATAATCACTTGGTTATTATCGCATCAAGTTCTTTATTAACTGAAAAAAACTCCTCCAGATGGGTTTGAATTTATAATACCGACACAAAATATTTTGCTATTCACAAATCAATTACTGAAAAATGTTGTATTTGAAAAAAGGGATTGGAATGCTAAACGATATTCTTAAAGAATTTGGGCATTACAAATTTCTAGAAAGCCTCAAATGAACAATTGAACTATTTGCTTTTGCTAAAAATAATTGGGCCTTTAATGAATGCAGCAGAAACTGTTTTCCTCTTGATTTCTTTTCTTAACTTATCATTTTGAGAAGAGCAGCCTGGCCAGAGAAGAAAAACAACAACGAGGAGCAGCCAGCCCTTCATAGCTCTTCAGGTAATTTCCCAACGACTAACATTCAGTTCAGCAGTTTGGCTATTTCATATGATTTCTCCAAGCTACTATCATCCCTTCCTCCTTTTTGCTTGTTGGTTTGCTTTTTGTTAGGAAATCAAAATATCTTCAATGGATCAGTCTGAATTTATATCATGGCAAATTTTAGCTCATTTTGTGTTAACTAAAATTTTTTGGAGATGTGTAGTTGGAAACCCTACAGCAATTTCTAAGACATAGCTTAATCTTGATTTACTTATTATAATTAAAACCTGGCTCTGCTGATTGGCCTACGGGCATTGGATTGGGGTGTTTTATACTGGAGGTGGTTAGTTGATTAAGAGAAGTCTGCACTTTCACCCCATTGTCTATTGGTCCCTTCCTTGGCTATTTTGCTAATTTAGTGTTAACATTTATCATTTTATTGCATTCATCGTTTATATTGTTATTTGTATGTTGTTGTAAACTGCTTGGAGTCACTTGCTGGTGAGATGGGCAGCATATAAATTTAACAAATAAATACATTTTTATACAATATCTTACTGCCCAAACAGAAAAATAGGAAAACAAAACAAAACAAAGAAAAAATAAGGCATTATATCTGTTTGTGATTTTCCCATGTTAGATTTTAGAATAGGCAGAAATCCATTTGGCTGAACCTCCCTCTGATTATGCACATCAAGTTCGATTATGCTAACTCCAGAGGAACCCCAGGAGGAGCCATCATAGGGGATTTTGATTGGATAGTGAATTGGAATGTTTACTGTTCTACTCTGTTTCTTTACGAAATAGATTACAAATTGTTTGTCAAGAAAAATCATTTTTGAATTTCTTTTATTTTTTTGAAGAATTCAATGCTAAAATATCAGTTCCAGTTATCTATTGTCATTGCTTTAAGATGGGCTGATGGTTGATTGTTCAGATTAATCAAATGTTGCATTATAATATTTTATCTGCCTTAAAGATGCTCTATAAACCTTTTTTAAAATGTTATCATTTATGTAAAAGACATAAGAAATAGATGACAAAGTTTAATAAATAAAAGTATGACATTGTCATACTTCTAGGCACATACATACCTTCATCTAATCATAGCATAATTCCCTGTGGAGTTAGGACTCTGTTTTCATGCCTGCTCCTGAATTATCACAAATTCAAGAAAAATATCTATAGCAAAGCACAATAAGCAATTTCAAGTCAGGCATTTTTAGCTGCCATTCCTAAAACTTACCTGTCAGGATACAACTTGGAGCAGGTGACCAGCCATTTTTTGTGCAAGTGGATGTTGACTGCTGGTTTGCAGGAGAATATCCCTGATCACAAACAAATGTAATGTCGTTACCTTCTATGTACATGTCCTGATAAGTACTAGCAAAATGACCATTATGAATACGTAGAGAAGTATCACATTTTTCTGAAAGCAAAAATAACAATTGGGTTTCATCATTCATGGTTCTTGGAAGGCTACTCATACTATGCGTGATATCTAATGCACAGAGATGAGAAGATATGAAGAAGGAAGAAACTGAGGAAGAACACTAGTTTTCTGTTGGTTTGCTTTTTTTTTTTAAAGACGCAGCTCTTCCCCTCTCTCTTTTAAGTTTTTAGTACAAATACATTTACAAACTGTAGGCTCCAAAACAATCTTTAGGGGCCCTTGAGAAGAGATAGCAGTACAAGCATTACTGCAGGAGGCATATGTACTGAAGAATAGGCTGAGATCTCTATTGGATGCTATTTCTTCAAGGTTAAGGCAAGGTCAGAGTAGCATCTCCCTCTTCAAGATTAAAGCGAGGTCAGAGTAGCATCTCCCTGGCCTGTTTTGTATACTTGGCAATATCTACTGCAAACGGAAAAGAATTACTTACTGAAACATTTTAGTTCTGGGACATAGTGGGATTTGATGCATGTTGCTGCTTGCCACATTTCCTTGTTTGTAGGCAGAAAACCATGATTACAAGAAAAATAAATTGATTGTCCCTCCGATATTGGAAATGGTCTGTACAGTTCATATGGTTTGGCCATTCTTCCATTTTCTATACGGATATAGTCACAGCCCCTTTCTGAAGGGAAGGGATAGAAAAAAAAAAGTAAGGCACCCATAATATTCAGAATATTCTATCAGTTCATTTGTTTTGCTTATATCTGTTCTAGCATCAGATGTGAAGCTTTTAGCTATGTTCTTCTAATGCGTTTTCAGAATCTGGCCTGGGTTTCTGCCCTGCATCTGAAGAAGGAAACAGAAAGTGACAGTGGAAGATAGGAGAATAAAAGACCTTTATTTCTTCCACTTACTATCTGTGAGCACTGTAGGGATAAAGTAGTGATATTGGCTTGACATATTAGATCTTAAACTGGAGGCATTGTAAAGTGGGATTCATTTTTACAATTTTTTTCTGTCTTCCTGTTTTATCACTGCACAGTGACTTATCAAAGCATTATTATTTTTGCTGGTATTATATTTTTATTTTATCCTGTATTTTCATATATTTCAGGCAGCAAATATAGCTTATCCGGGGCAGCCTGAGAATGGATGGGGGGGGGGCAGAGGGCCAGAGCATCAGCACTCCCAGTTCCTCCGCCTCTCCTCCTCCAACACCGACTACAGTGCGTGCAAAGTTAAAAGTGTGCATCTTCCCCCTCCCCTTCAAATGACTGATCAACTGCACACTCCCATTCCTTGCTATGCAAAATGCTTTCCTCCCCGAATCCACAAACGTGGCAGGCGATTGGCGCTGCCACCTGAAAATGCTTTCCTCCCTGGTTCTCAGAAGCACATTGCAGGGGGAACCGGCCATCACCTGAAACATGGCTCTGTGAATTGCATCAGGCCAATGGGCAGCAGTGGCTGGAAAGGAGGGATGGTTTATTTTAGGGGCTCCCAGGTGCGGAGAGGGCTTAGGTGGTGGCAGCAGCGGTGGCAGTTCCTCACATTGCTGGGGAGTGAAGTCATCATGGTGATTATCTGCCCAGACCTGCCCGATGGGTGGCCAGAGGAGGGACCAGCCGCAAACCATGGGACCCACCTTTTTTACCGAAGCCACCGGGCAGATTCCCCACCCCAGACTGTCCCAAAGAGGCTTGGTCCTCAGGCTGTGCCCCAACCCAGATCCCCGCTGTCTGGAACTGCCCAAAAATGCGACACACAGAGGTTGAAAATATCCGAAGGGTGGCGGTGGGCAGGGCTACATTCAGACTATAAGATGCACACAGATTTTCACCCTCTTTTTGGGGGTGAAAGGTGCGTCTTATAGTCCAAATTTAGTGTTAACATTTATCATTTTATTGCGTTCATCTTTTATATTGTTATTTGTATCTTGTTGTAAACTGCTTGGAGTCACTTGCTGGTGAGATGGGCAGCATATAAATTTAACAAATACTGTAAATACATTTTTATACAATATCTTACTGCCCAAACAGAAAAATAGGAAAACAAAACAAAACAAAGAAAAATAAGGCATTATATCTGTTTGTGATTTTCCCATGTTAGATTTTAGAATAGGCAGAAATCCATTTGGCTGAACCTCCCTCTGATTATGCACATCAAGTTCGATTATGCTAACTCCAGAGGAGCCCCAGGAGGAGCCATCATAGGGGATTTTTGATTGGATAGTGAATTGGAATGTTTACTGTTCTACTCTGTTTCTTTACGAAATAGATTACAAATTGTTTGTCAAGAAAAATCATTTTTGAATTTCTTTTATTTTTTTGAAGAATTCAATGCTAAAATATCAGTTCCAGTTATCTATTGTCATTGCTTTAAGATGGGCTGATGGTTGATTGTTCAGATTAATCAAATGTTGCATTATAATATTTTATCTGCCTTAAAGATGCTCTATAAACCTTTTTTAAAATGTTATCATTTATGTAAAAGACATAAGAAATAGATGACAAAGTTTAATAAATAAAAGTATGACATTGTCATACTTCTAGGCACATACATACCTTCATCTAATCATAGCATAATTCCCTGTGGAGTTAGGACTCTGTTTTCATGCCTGCTCCTGAATTATCACAAATTCAAGAAAAATATCTATAGCAAAGCACAATAAGCAATTTCAAGTCAGGCATTTTTAGCTGCCATTCCTAAAACTTACCTGTCAGGATACAACTTGGAGCAGGTGACCAGCCATTTTTTGTGCAAGTGGATGTTGACTGCTGGTTTGCAGGAGAATATCCCTGATCACAAACAAATGTAATGTCGTTACCTTCTATGTACATGTCCTGATAAGTACTAGCAAAATGACCATTATGAATACGTAGAGAAGTATCACATTTTTCTGAAAGCAAAAATAACAATTGGGTTTCATCATTCATGGTTCTTGGAAGGCTACTCATATTATGCGTAAGGTGACCAGACGTCCCGCTTTTGGCGGGACAGTCCCGATTTTTAGCAATTTGTCCCGCGTCCCGTGGCGTTTTAAAAAAGTTCCGATTTTTCATTCTGCCTCCTGAGTCCCAGCTGATGGCTAGAGGGAAAAGAAATGTTTAAACTCTTGCCGCGGGGCTTCAAAGGGCCGCCCTACAGGTGATCAGTGTAAAGAGTTCCTGGAGCAGATTTTTTTCCCCTAGCTATGCTGAAGAAGCGAAAGCAAAAGTAGGGTCTTTGCTGCAATGTGACAAAAGGAGGCAGAGAGAGATTTCTTTTTCTTTTTCCTCACCAAAAAAGGAAGGTTCAAAACTGCAAACAATGGGAAATTTAGGAGGAGAGTTCAAGATTTTAAAACACAAAAGAAAAAAAGCTCTATTTAACTAGGGAATTGTAATAATTGAGATACTATTAATTGTATATTGTGTTGAAAGCAGAAATGGTTAAGTTGTGGTTTGGAGGAATATATGGGGGAAATTATTTGGTTTATTATTATTTTTAGTAAATATAATTAATTGATTTGTAAGAAATTGGATTGCATGGAAATAATTGGAATATTCATGTTCATATTGATTAATATACAAAAAAGATAGTTATATAACTAATTGATTTATATTAAAATGTTGAATTTGTATTAAAGAACTGTATTACATAATTACATAATTAACCAATGTGAGGATGGATATAAAAATAGATGACAATGGGAAGGGGTATAATATAAAATAGAACGGGAAAATTGAATTTGATTAAGATTAGAGATGAGGATGAAGGGTAATATTGTTTTTTTTTTAAAAAAATAGATGAGGAATAAATATGGCAAAAAGGAAATATAGAAAATGTAAATTTAATTGAAATGACTAAACACTGTTTAAATTTGTGAACCAGCCAAATATTCAAAGAAAATACATTGTATGTTCGTATGTGTGTTTCTAATTATTGCTATTTATTCATATTTGTTCTCTTTTATTCTTTAAAGTTTAACAATTCATTCTTTATCTTAATATCTTTATATTTGTTTGGGGTTGGCTTTCTTCCCTTTCATCTTTTTTATTGTACAGCAATGTTTCTCCTCAAACCTACCACCTCTCTTTTCTTTCCTTCTTACTTTCTCTTCCTCCACCCTCTTCTTCTCCTCCCTATTTCCTCTTCCTTTCTCCTTCTCCTCCTCTCTTCCTCCCTCTCTTACCGTCACTCCTACTCTAATTTCCCTTCCCTTCCTTCATCCCTCTCTATTACTGTATCCTTTTATGCATATGGACTACTCAGGGGGCTGAAAAAGTTATTTTTGACTGGTCCTCGCACTTTTGACCAGTCCTCGAACTTACGACTGTCCTCACATTTTACGTTTTTTGCCCTATCTTATCACCATGGTGAAGAGAAGCAGTTGTGAAATGAGTGACATGGTTGTTAAGAATGCTGCACGGGCATAAATGTGAGGATGGTCATAAGTGTGAGGACCAGTCAAAAGTGCAAGGACCTGTCAGAAATGACTTTTTTCAGCCCTCTGGTTAGTCCTTTTGTGCATATGGACTACTCAGAGGGCTGAAAAAGTTATTTTTGACTGGTCCTCGCACTTTTGACCAGTCCTCAAACTTACGACTGTCCTCACATTTTATGTTTTTTGCCCTATCTTATCACCATGGTGAAGAGAAGCAGTTGTGAAATGAGTGACATGGTTGTTAAGAATGCTGCACGGGCATAAATGTGAGGATGGTCATAAGTGTGAGGACCAGTCAAAAGTGCGAGGACTTGTCAGAAATGACTTTTTTCAGCCCTCTGAGTAGTCCCTATACATATACCCATGGCCACCCGGTCACATGACCAGCTAGCCACGCCCACCCAGTCACATGACCTCCAAGCCACGCCCACAAAATAAGCCACGCACACAATGGTGTCCCTCTTTACCAATGTTAAAATCTGGTCACCTTAACTATGCGTGATATCTAATGCACAGAGATGAGAAGATATGAAGAAGAAGAAACTGAGGAAGAACACTAGTTTTCTGTTGGTTTGCTTTTTTTTTAAAGACGCAGCTCTTCCCCTCTCTCATTTAAGTTTTTAGTAAAAATACATTTACAAACTGTAGGCTCCAAAACAATCTTTAGGGGCCCTTGAGAAGAGATAGCAGTGGAGAGCATTACTGCAGGAGGCATATGTACTGAAGAATAGGCTGAGATCTCTATTGGATGCTATTTCTTCAAGGTTAAGGCAAGGTCAGAGTAGCATCTCCCTCTTCAAGATTAAAGCGAGGTCAGAGTAGCATCTCCCTGGCCTGTTTTGTATACTTGGCAATATCTACTGCAAACGGAAAAGAATTACTTACTGAAACATTTTAGTTCTGGGACATAGTGGGATTTGATGCATGTTGCTGCTTGCCACATTTCCTTGTTTGTAGGCAGAAAACCATGATTACAAGAAAAATAAATTGATTGTCCCTCCGATATTGGAAATGGTCTGTATAGTTCATATGGTTTGGCCATTCTTCCATTTTCTATACGGATATAGTCACAGCCCCTTTCTGAAGGGAAGGGATAGAAAAAAAAAAGTAAGGCACCCATAATATTCAGAATATTCTATCAGTTCATTTGTTTTGCTTATATCTGTTCTAGCATCAGATGTGAAGCTTTTAGCTATGTTCTTCTAATGCGTTTTCAGAATCTGGCCTGGGTTTCTGCCCTGCATCTGAAGAAGGAAACAGAAAGTGACAGTGGAAGATAGGAGAATAAAAGACCCTTATTTCTTCCACTTACAATCTGTGAGCACTGTAGGGATAAAGTAGTGATATTGGCTTGACATATTAGATCTTAAACTGGAGGCATTGTAAAGTGGGATTCATTTTTACAATTTTTTTCTGTCTTCCTGTTTTATCACTGCACAGTGACTTATCAAAGCATTATTATTTTTGCTGGTATTATATTTTTATTTTATCCTGTATTTTCATATATTTCAGGCAGCAAATATAGCTTATCCGGGGCAGCCTGAGAATGGGTGGGGGGGGCAGAGGGCCAAAGCATCAGCACTCCCAGTTCCTCCGCCTCTCCTCCTCCAACACCGACTACAGCGCGTGCAAAGTTAAAAGTGTGCATCTTCCCCCTCCCCTTCAAATGACTGATCAACTGCACAGTCCCATTGCCTGCTATGCAAAATGCTTTCCTCCCCGAATCCACAAACGTGGCAGGTGATTGGCGCTGCCACCTGAAAATGCTTTCCTCCCTGGTTCTCAGAAGCACATTGCAGGGGAACCGGCCAACACCTGAAACATGGCTCTGTGAATTGCATCAGGCCAATGGGCAGCGGTGGCTGGAAAGGAGGGATGGTTTATTTTAGGGGCTCCCAGGTGCGGAGAGGGCTTAGGTTGTGGCAGCAGCGGTGGCAGTTCCTCACATTGCTGGGGAGTGAAGTCATCATGGTGATTATCTGCCCAGACCTGCCCGATGGGTGGCCAGAGGAGGGACCAGCCGCAAACCATGGGACCCACCTTTTTTACCGAAGCCACCGGGCAGATTCCCCCACCCCAGACTGTCCCAAAGAGGCTTGGTCCTCAGGCTGTGCCCCAACCCAGATCCCCGCTGTCTGGAACTGCCCAAAAATGCGACACACAGAGGTTGAAAATATCCGAAGGGTGGCGGTGGGCAGGGCTACATTCAGACTATAAGATGCACACAGATTTTCACCCTCTTTTGGGGGGTGAAAGGTGCGTCTTATAGTCCAAATTTAGTGTTAACATTTATCATTTTATTGCATTCATCGTTTATATTGTTATTTGTATCTTGTTGTAAACTGCTTGGAGTCACTTGCTGGTGCGATGGGCAGCATATAAATTTAACAAATACTGTAAATACATTTTTATACAATATCTTACTGCCCAAACAGAAAAATAGGAAAACAAAACAAAACAAAGAAAAATAAGGCATTATATCTGTTTGTGATTTTCCCATGTTAGATTTTAGAATAGGCAGAAATCCATTTGGCTGAACCTCCCTCTGATTATGCACATCAAGTTCAATTATGCTAACTCCAGAGGAACCCCAGGAGGAGCCATCATGGGGATTTTTGATTGGATAGTGAATTGGAATGTTTACTGTTCTACTCTGTTTCTTTATGAAATAGATTACAAATTGTTTGTCAAGAAAAATCATTTTTGAATTTCTTTTATTTTTGAAGAATTCAATGCTAAAATATCAGTTCCAGTTATCTATTGTCATTGCTTTAAGATGGGCTGATGGTTGATTGTTCAGATTAATCAAATGTTGCATTATAATATTTTATCTGCCTTAAAGATGCTCTATAAACCTTTTTAAAATGTTATCATTTATGTAAAAGACATAAGAAATAGATGACAAAGTTTAATAAATAAAAGTATGACATTGTCATACTTCTAGGCACATACATACCTTCATCTAATCATAGCATAATTCCCTGTGGAGATAGGACTCTGTTTTCACACCTGCTCCTGAATTATCACAAATTCAAGAAAAATATCTATAGCAAAGCACAATAAGCAATTTCAAGTCAGGCATTTTTAGCTGCCATTCCTAAAACTTACCTGTCAGGATACAACTTGGAGCAGGTGACCAGCCATTTTTTGTGCAAGTGGATGTTGACTGCTGGTTTGCAGGAGAATATCCCTGATCACAAACAAATCTAATGTCGTTACCTTCTATGTACATGTCCTGATAAGTACTAGCAAAATGACCATTATGAATACGTAGAGAAGTATCACATTTTTCTGAAAGCAAAAATAACAATTGGGTTTCATCATTCATGGTTCTTGGAAGGCTACTCATACTATGCGTGATATCTAATGCACAGAGATGACAAGATATGAAGAAGGAAGAAACTGAGGAAGAACACTAGTTTTCTGTTGGTTTGCTTTTTTTTTAAAGACGCAGCTCTTCCCCTCTCTCTTTTAAGTTTTTAGTACAAATACATTTACAAACTGTAGGCTCCAAAACAATCTTTAGGGGCCCTTGAGAAGAGATAGCAGTGGAGAGCATTACTGCAGGAGGCATATGTACTGAAGAATAGGCTGAGATCTCTATTGGATGCTATTTCTTCAAGGTTAAAGCAAGGTCAGGGTAGCATCTCCCTCTTCAAGATTAAAGTAAGGTCAGAGTAGCATCTCCCTCTTCAAGATTAAAGTAAGGTCAGAGTAGTATCTCCCTGGCCTGTTTTGTATACTTGGCAATATCTACTGCAAACGGGAAAGAATTACTTACTGAAACATTATTTTTCTGCCTTCCTGTTTTATCACTGCACAGTGACTTATCAAAGCATTAATATTGTTGCTGTTATTATTTTTTTATTTTATCCTGTATTTTCATAAATATTTCTGTATATTTCAGGCAGCAAATATAGCTAATACTCCTAGCTCTTACTTTCCCACCACAACCAGCCTGTGAAAGGCCCAAAGTAACTCAGTATCTTTCATGCCTAAGGTGGGACTAGAATTCACAATCACCTTCTTCTGCATTCTTGGGCTTAGCATTGTTAAGTAAAGGCTTAGATTTCTCAAATTATACCACTAAGCTTCTGTTTAGTGTAAATCTTGCTTAGCTGTTTGCTCATCTGCCAAGTTTCCTTGTTTCAAAGGTATTGTAGAAGTTAGGGAATGCAATGATTAAGTTCAGCTTGATGCAGGTTTGTAAGATATAATTCTTTAAAAAAAGTATATATATAAATAGAAAGATACTTATAGAAGTAACCGATTATATTAAAATATTGGACCGTATTACTTAAGAAAATGTAAGTCATAAAATAAGTGGGCTCACTATTCTTGTAAGAATTGAACAATTGTAACATCACAAAATTAATTATTCTGATGATGGATTGGGGTTTAATATAGAATAGAAGGGAAATTGAAATTTGGTTAAAATTAGAGATGAAAATGAAGGGTAAAATTGGAAAAAAATAGATGAAAGTGAACACTATGGCAAAAAGGAGGTATAGAAACGGTAATCTTAGTTGTAAAAATTGAAAATTGTTTTAATTTGTTAACCGGCCAAATACTCTGATCAACAAAAATACATTGTATGTTTGTGTGTGTGTATGTGTAAAGAATAAAGAAAAAATTTTTACAAAAAAAAAAAAAAGTATATGGGGAAGATGTCAGAGAACAATATCACCTGGAAGATAAGTGATTGAAGCAGTAGCAATCAAGCAATTGCCCTAAGATAGGAAGGCAGGCAAAGCTATATCAAGCCGAGAAGAAATTTGTCTGAGGAAGGCTAATATGTCTAAAGAAAGGGTCCCCAACATCAATCCTTTGTGAAATTTTCAATTGCTTACTGATACTTAAATATATAACTAACAGCACTATTACTACTGCTATAATAACAAATACAACTGCAAAAAATAAGGATTAGGTGGATAAAAATGCCAAATACCTGGTAGACAGCAGTAAACCATACTAATAATAATAAGAACAAATACAAACAAAGACAGCATCACACAGCAAGTGCTGGCTTGGCAAAAAGCTGAAGAAACAGCGAATCACCTAGTTATATGCTGCAAGAAGATTGCACAAATGGATTACAGCAAAGTTATGACAAAGTACCCATAATGATGCATTGGAAGATCTGCAAGATATACTACTTGCCCGCAAACAAGAACTGGTGGCATCACAAAATAGAAGAAGAAGCTAAACTTCTCTGGGACTTTAGAATTCAAACAGACAAGACCTGCTATATAACACCCACACTTAACAATTGTTGGTAAGAAAGACAAAGAACTTTGGCTGGTTCTCTTCTGACAGAAGAAAAGAAGAGAAAGAACTAGAGAAAATCACAAAATACAAAGACCTTCGAATAGAAATGATGGGTCAATAGTGAAGCATACAATTTCAGACTGAAACAGAAATGACCAAAATATTAGACTAGATTTCCCAGAACACTTTTGAGGTGTATTGCTATTCTGGAAAGAACTATAGCATCATCTGTATAGAGCAGCAGGGCAGTACTGTAATCTCCTAGTTTAGGGGGATGGAAATATCATTTGGACACCTCACTATACCATTGATATAGAATTGAAAAGCAGGGGAACCAAAATAAATATGTTTTAACTCCCATTTGAGTTGTAAGTGGTTTTGAGTGAAATTCTTGCATATTGTATCTGACCGTAAATGTCATATTGATGTGCAAGGCACAAATTAAATAGCAATAATAATAGCGCTTAGACTTATATATTGCTTCATAGTGCTTTACAGTCCTCTCTAAGCAGATTATGGAGTCAACATATTGCCCCCAACACGCTGGGTCCTCACATCAGAGGGGGTGTGGCCAGTGCCAGCAGCGGTACAGCAAATTCCGGGGCTCCTGGAAAATGCTGATATCTCAGCTGCTTTAGGAGATCCCCAGGGATCATAGCTGTCCTGTAGGGACAGTGAAGAATGGAGGCACAGACAGGCACAAACAGGAAAGTCGCAAGTCCCTGAAGTGTCTGCATCAGCCTCCGACCCAACAGCAAGGGAAGACAGTCATTAGGAGCTGTCAAAAGCCAGGTGGCCAAACACAAGAAGAGAAGGAAAAAAGAACGAGGTGATCATCTGGGTGAGAAACTGTGCTCTTGGAAACAAGATTCCTTTATATATTTAACTCCTGAACTTTTAAAACTATTTTACTTGAGAAACTTGGCAAAGAGAGAGGGGAGGGAGTGGAAAAAGACTACCTCCCCACCTCCAGAACAGCTGTGAAGAAGCTGAAGCCTTTAATATTCACTATTATGGTTGTTTACTGTAATTTATTAATTTTGATTATTTTTTATTAGTATTACTAATTAGTATGTATTAATGTTATGAGGAAAAAAACTGTTATTATGAAACTACCATTAGAAAATACTATTATGATTATGATGAATATTACTGTAAAGAACTGTAACCAGAGAATATATTGTATATATGGATTTTGAACATGTTGCTCTTTTTTATCTATAATAATAATAATAATAGTAATAATAATAAGAGGAGGAGGAGGAGGAGGAGGAGGAGGAGGCGGCCTAGGCTCAGATTGTAGGGCCCACCATATTCCACACCCCATTTTTGGAATCAGAAAGGGGATCACGAGTCTGCCACTCAAAAATGCTTTCCTTCCTGATTCCAAAAACGTGGAAGCAAAAAAAGTGCATCACGTTTCAGGCAATGGATCTGGCCAGGAGGAAAGAGAAGGTGAGTCTGCTGAGAAGGAGGAGGACACAGACCACAGCTCTGCAATGTGCATTTGGGAGAAAAGCATTTTCAGGTGGCAGTGTTGCAATTCCGTCCCCGAATCCAAAAATGATTCCCTGTTCCCTGATGCACATTGCAGGGGAACCAGCTGCCTCCTGAAACATGGCTCTGTGAATTGCATTGGGGAATTGGGCCAACGGGTGGCGGTGGCTGGAAAGGAGGGACATTTCGCTTTAGGGGCTCCTGCTCAGCTCGGCTCCCAGGCACAGAGAGGGCTCAGCTCTCCTTACATTGCTGGGGAGTGAAGTCATCACGGCCATTGTTTGCTCTGAGCTGTCCACTGGGCAGCCAGAGGGTGGACCAGCTGCGAACCATGGGGCCCGTCTTGTTTGCCAAAGCTGCCAGGCAGATGCCCCCCCCCCAAGCCATCCCAAAGAGGGTCGTTCCTCAGGCTGTGCCCTGACCCAGATCCCTGCCACCTGGAACCACGTAAAAATGCGACACACAGAGCCCATAAATATCCGAAGGTGGGTGGACAGAGCTACATTCGGACCGATGGTGGGTTTCAAATGTTTTACTACCAATTCTGTGGGTATGGCTTGGTTGGCATGGCATGGCTTGGTGGGCATGGCTTGGTAGGCATGGCAGGGGAAGTATACTGTAAAATCTCCATTCCGCCCCCAATCCAGGGGAAGGTTACTACAAAATCCCCACTTCCTCCCGATCAGCTGGGATTTGGGAAGCAGAGAATAGATGGAGGCGGGGCCAGTCAGAATTTTTACCACTGGTTCTTCGAACTACTCAAAATTTTCGCTATGACCAATTCTCCAGAACTGTTCTCTGGTCAGAACCTGCTGAAACCCACCTCTGATTCGGACTATAAGACACACCCAGATTTTCACCCTCTTTTGGGGGGTAAAAAGGTGCGTCTTATACTCTGAAAAATACATTATATATATGTAAATACTGTTAAAATGCTCTGGATGAAATATGTCCCTTTAGCAGAAAACTGGAAAATCATGTAAAATAGTATTAAAAAGTACTCTTGTACAGAGTTAAATATATCAGCCATTCTACAATCATAGTAATGTACACTAGTTCTACTTACTGATACATTTTGGTGGAGGTGACCATCCATTCTTTGTGCATTCAACCACCTTTTCTCCATTATCTGGATCAAAAGTAAATCCACTGTCACACTGAATTCGAATTAGATCCCCATCATGATATATAGTTCTTTGAGGTCGGAAAGTACCATTAGATATTCTTGGAGAGTTGCATGTAATTTCTAGAGAAAATAAATCATATATTATATGAAAAAAGGAAAACGTGCACTCATATCAGATTCTAAGCATTGATTTCTATAAGGACAGAAAACAATATTACTATTTTAAATATCTATATAGCACCACAAGAACATATTAATCAATAGACATACCTACTGATGGGCACAATTAATTTAAAACTGCCAGTTAGGTTCTAAAATATACTGTGAAATTAGTCATCTTGATTAAAAGTGCTTTTAGTAGCTTTGTATTTATTTGAAAGATCATAAATAAATTCAGGAAGTTGTTGTAATTATTCTCCTCCTTCACTTTGGTTTCCAATTGAAATAAAAAGCTACAATTTGATACCCCTATACCCCCATACTTGATACCATCATTCTTACTTTTTAGTCCCACTGTTGAGCCTGGTAGGATTTTCAGCCACCTGCAAGGTTACAAATCAGGGGCTCCACATTGTAGTAGTTCCTCTCCTGTCTGAGGTTACAGTTTCAGTTAATGGTGACAGGGAAAAGAGGTCAGGCCTTCAAATTCTTTGTAATGGAGCTTTTATTACTTTTAGTAGCTCTTGGCTATTATTTATTTGGAACATCATAAATAAATTCAGCCAGTTCCTATAATTATTCTTTACTTTGCTTTGAGTTGAAACATAAAGCTACAATTTGATACCCCTCTTCTTGCTATTCAGTCCTGTTGTCAATCCCACTAGCATTTTCAACCACCTGCAAGGTTGTAAAATTAGGAGCTGCACATTGCAGTGGTTCCACTTCTGCCTGAGGTTGTCGATGATCATGGCGACAAGGGAAAGAGGTCAGGCTTTCAAAGGCTGTGATGGAGCCCGCAGGGCTTGTTCCTAGTCCCATTTATGTTCAAATTCTGTTCAGAATTAGAAGCGGCCCTCTATCTATAATGATAACTCTGAGGTAGAGTATCACCAACAACAATTCAGTTACTGTGGCAATGGATGCATTGCTAGAAGATTTGAAGATTGGGGCAGATTTCCTGGAGAAAATCAATCTTTGTGATTGCTGAGAGTTGATATCAACTTCTTAGCATGTAATTAAAAAATTAATTAGCTCTTCCTGAAATTGCCCTGGGGATACCATCAAAACATCAGTTGGTCTGGAATTCAATATCCTGTATGCTCAATGTATACGTTTAGTTCTGCTTTGTTACATCACAGCTGCAGGAGCTGCATTGGCTACCAATGTACTTCTGAATGCAATCCAAAGTGCTGGACATAACTTTTAAAGTTGGTTATAGCTCAAGCGTATGACAAGTATGACACTGAATTTTCCAAATTGTTGTAGCGCGGGAATAACGAGAGGCACAAGCAGACTAGTAACAACAGCTCTTTAATTCAGGGTGAGACTTCAGCAAAACTCACAGGCAACAGCCCTCTTTATATACTTTCCAGAGGTGACCAAGAACCAATCAGGATTCACTATGCATTTGAATTTCCCGCACAAAATAGATACATACACAACACCCCTCCCTTCCCAGAAGGCACTTATTCTATCTATTTACATATTTACATACAAAATCACGCAGGTGACCAGGGCGTGTCTTAATCCTGGTTGACCTGCGCAGTTCAGTTGTTGGCAAGGCGTTGAGCCGGTCGGAGGGACCTCCCATCTCTCCCGGCTCCGCCAATGGAACCTCCTGGATTTCTCCGGAGGTGTGGCGATCTCCGGCTGGGAGTGTCGGCTCGCTGGGGCAGCGCTGGGACTCAGGGTTGCCAGATAAGCATTCTGGCTTACTCGGGCTTGAGGTAGCTGTGTCGGAGAGACTTGGGTAGTTAGGACATGGTGTTTCGTTGGGTAGACGTTTTCGTAATTGATCTACATGTCTCCTCCAGATTTTACCATGCCCAATATCTACTGTGTATGACTTTGGACCAGTAATTCCTACGATGGTTCCTTCTACCCATAGTGGCCCATTAGTGTAGCTTCTAGCAAAGACTAGTGAACCTTCTTCAACGTGTCTTAGTCCTCCCCCTTCCCCGGTGAAACTATCAAAGGAGTAGTTAGGATGCAGTCTGTCTAGAACGCATCGAAGCTTTCGGCCCATTAAAAGTTCGGCCGGGCTGCGGCCCGAAGTCGGACACGGGGTGGCATGTTGTACTGCTAGAAACTCGTCTATTCTAGCCTGCCAGTCCCCAGCATCGAGTCGGGAGAGGGCTTCTTTGGCCGTTCTTACAAATCGTTCAACAAGGCCATTAGAAGCCAGATGAAAAGGAACGGATAGTGCATGTCTAATGCCTAGTTCGGCTAGGTAGCCTTCGAATTGAGTTGCCGTAAATTGGGGCCCATTGTCGGACACCAGTGTGTCCGGCAATCCGTGTGTTGCGAGAAGTTTTCTGAGTACTTTGATTATGGCCTCAGAAGTGGTCGATGGCATTAGGGCAATTTTGAGCCACTTAGAAAATGCATCTACTATTATTAAAAAGTTCTGGCCATGGAACGGGCCAGCAAAATCTATGTGAATCCTCCCCCACGGTCCTTTTGGTTTCTCCCACTCTCGAACGGGCGCAATGGGGGGATCTGGGCAGGATTCCTGGCAGGGCCTACACTTCCCTACCCACTCAGTGACATCTTGGTCGAGATGCGGCCACCAAACATAGCTACGAGCTAGGCCTTTCATGCGAACAACCCCAGGGTGACCCTCGTGCAACATTTCTAGGACCCTGTCACCCCACAACAAGCATCCCCCGAACATTGACAGTTCATTTTTCTTGTTGAAATACAATTGGAAATCACCACCATCCACCTTGGTGGGCCAACCCCTCGTTACCCAGCCCATTACTATGCGCAAAACAGCATCTCGGGCAGAAGCCCTCGCCACCTCATTTGAAGAAATGGGGCCTGGGGAAACAACGTCCAGCAGCAAAACCGGGGCTTCCGGGGTCGGGTTGTCCAATAGAACCGGTAGAGGACATCGGCTGAGGGCGTCAGCATGTCCTAAGGTTTTGCCAGGTCGGTGAAGCAGTTTGTACGAATATGCGGCCAAAAATATAGACCATCTGGTCATCCAGGGGGAGAGGGCCGCCGGGGTCGGTTTGTCACCAGCCAAGAGTCCCAAAAGCGGCTGGTGGTCTGTAATGAGTTCAAAAGTGCGGCCAAACAAGTACTCGTGAAATTTTTTGACCCCCCGCTACAGCCGCTAGTGCCTCCCTATCTAGCTGACTATAGTTCCGTTCAGCATTAGACAGAGTGCAAGAGTAATAAGCAATGGGCGCCTCTAACCCATTCGGCAGTCTATGGCCTAAAACTGCGCCAACGCCAAAGGAGGAAGCATCACAGACTAACACCAGAGATAGTTCAGCATTGTACTGAATGAGGAAACTGTCCTCGGATAAAAGTCTTTTTACTGCGTTGAAAGCGGTCGCTTCTCACTTGCCCCAAACCCAAGGAACGTTTTTTCCGAGGAGCCTGTGCAGAGGCTCCGCAACGGTGGCCTTTTGTTTCAAAAACATCGTATAGAAATTGAGTAGGCCCAAGAAGGCCTGCAGCTCAGCTTTTGACTTGGGGGTGGGCGTGCCTTGGATGACCCTCATTTTGCTCTCTGTGGGGTGAATGCCTGAGCCGTCGATTCTGTAGCCTAAGAATTCCACTGATGGCACTGCAATTCTGCATTTATTCCATTTAAGCTTAAGTCCCGCTTCTCTGAATCTGGTTAGGACTTATCTAACCCTTTGGCCCAACTGCACTTCGTCTTGGCCACTAATCAAAATGTCGTCGAAATACGGAACGACGCCTGGGAGGCCTTGTAGAAGGCGCTCCATGGTACTCTGAAAAAGTCCTGGGGCGATGCTGACCCCAAACTGAAGCCTGGTGCATTTAAAGGCACCTCTGTGGGTTACTATAGTCTGTGATTCTGCGTAGCGTCATCTACTGGCAGTTGCTGGTACGCCTGCGCAAGGTCTAGCTTCGCGAACAGCTTGCCAGGGCCCAGGGAGTGTAGAAGATGGTGGACTATAGGAACCGGATAGGCGCTCTGCTGCAACACCTTGTTAATCGAACACTTACAGTCAGCGCAAATTCTAATTGAGCCATCTGCTTTAACTGGAGTAACTATTGGGGTTTCCCACTTAGCGTGATCTACAGGAACTAGCACCCCTTGTTTAATGAGCTTGTCGAGCTCCGCATTGATCTTGGGTTTTAAGACAAAGGGATCTCGCCTCGCCTTCAGTCTAATTGGCGCTACGTTGGGATCTAAATTGAAAGAAATAGGGGTCCCCACGTACTTGCCTAGAGTCTCTTCGAAAACGTCCCAAAACTTGTGAAGCAGTGTTTCTTTCAGTGATGATCCGTTGATGTTGTGGACGCCCGTGAAGCCCATGCCAAGGGCTCGGAACCATTTCATGCCCAGTAGACTCGGAAGGGGCTTGCTGACCACGGTCAGAGGTAGCTCTTTCTGAAAATCGCCATAGGTGACCTGGAACGTGCCCACTCCTTCAACGGGGACTCGGTTTCCCTGGTAGTCGAGTAGGCGGATTTTCTGTCGGGATAGCTGTCTTTTCTGAAGCTTGGGCAGGAGTGCCTTGAGTGTTGACCAGGACATGATCGATAGCGTAGACATGGTGTCGATCTCCATTTCGCACAATTTGCCATCGATTTCTACTTTCGTGTAGACTTTCTCATCATCGGGTGTGCTGGCTTGGCCGATTGTCGTGCTGTAGGTTTCCCGCTTTTGAGGTTCGCACCGTTTTCTCGCGCCGTCATCTTTGATTGGAACAAGCCGATTCTGGTTGGTTGTGGTAGTCACGTGGTTTTCGACTATGCGGAAGTTGAGCTCTGCAAACTCGTGCTAGATGGCCTTTTCTATCGCAACGCCTGCAGATGGCCTCTCTATATTTACACGACTGTCTCTCGTGATCCCCGCCACAGCTGGGGCAGTTCTCGTGGCGGCAGCTTTGTTCACTTGACCATTTTTCTGTATGGAAGACTTCCTCGTCCGACTCTTCCTCTGTGCTGGTTTGCACCTCTTCTCTGTGGACTGTGGCTGTTTTCGGCCCGTCCTTGCTTGAATTGGGACACTGCAGTGCTTCCGATGCCTTCGTTGATGTCTCGTGTGCTCGGGCTTCGTCTAGCGCACCAGCTAGCGTTAGGTCTGGCTTGGCTAGAAGACGCCTTTGTAACCGGGTATCACGAACCCCGCAAATCAGTTGTTCAAGCAATGCATTGTCTAAATCTCTGTAGTCACAATGCGTAGCGGCTTTTTGTAGCACGGCCACATAAGCACTGACCGGCTCTCCTTCTTTTTGAACTCTTTGCCGGAGTTCGTAGTGCTGAACGAATTTGGACGGAACTGGGGCATAGTGAGCCTTCAGGTTGGCTTGAAGGACGTCCCAGGGGACCGTCTGGACTGGGGTTGGCTCGCAGAGAGATTCTGCCATCTCAAATACGTCTGGCCTGCAGTGGCTTAAGAACAGAGCCCGTTTTCTGTTTGCGGAGAGCCCTTGCATTTCGCTCGCTTCCAAGGAGCACTCGAACCTTGTCAGATACGATCCCCACTTCTCTCGGGTCGGGTCGAAAGGTTTTGGCAGAACGTAGGCAGACATGCCGCGTCTCTGTGTTCGCCAGTCACCCTGGCTGAAACTCCAAGCTCTTTTTGATTTGCCTCTTGTGGCCTCTATCCCATCCTCGTCGCCAATGTTGTAGCGCGGGAATAACGAGAGGCACAAGCAGACTAGTAACAACAGCTCTTTAATTCAGGGTGAGACTTCAGCAAAACTCACAGGCAACAGCCCTCTTTATATACTTTCCAGAGGTGACCAAGAACCAATCAGGATTCACTATGCATTTGAATTTCCCGCACAAAATAGATACATACACAACACAAATAACCATAGTTTGTCTAACGTGGATGGCAAGACAACATTTACTAAGAGTCTCCAGCTTTCAGGTTAGTCAGGGAGTAATATCATATGTTCTCTTTGCAGCTCCCCTCCTTGGAAACAGCTGCCCTAAATTGAGTATGACAGCCGCTCTCTTGATCTTCTTGAAGCCAGTAGAACCACAGGCAGTTTTGTCTATATGAGTGCATTTTTCTTATGATTTGATTTTAGTCATATTATTGAATTTTGTATTATTTTATTGCTTATTTTAATATCTGTAAACTTCCTGGAATCCACAAGGATAATCATGGTACAGAAATGGCATGAATTCATAAACAAACCAACATCTCCATGAAGTTCTTCTGATACCTGTGGTGGAACTGCTGGTTCTGGGAAAGGTGGAACTGCTAAAATTGTGAAATGTCCCTCATTAGACATTCACTACTCTACTAGTCCCAAGATCAAATGCAAAGCAATGTTCTCTAGCAGTAATTAAAAAGTTCCTACATTCTTCCTTAAAAACAGAAATATGTAGTAAATCAGGTATGGAGTTTACTGCAGCAAAACAAATTACTGTACCATTCAATGATATAAAAATATTGCTATGTGCATATATTACCTTACATTGATGAACAATTCTCAAGGGTACAATGTGGCAGTTATTGCAATAATTAAGCCATGAAATGGCCATAGGTATGTTTTTCATTGCACTACTCCCTCTCCAGCAATCTGCAGTCTTTCAGGTTTCTCCTATTTCAACTACATCCCAAGAGTTTCCATTGGGCCCTTGCAGAATAGAAAAGTGCAGTCCAGGGAGGTTTCAGAGAGATAAAAATATCTGCCCCACTAAAGGACATATTTATTTATTGTTTATTTATTGGTTCAATTTATATGCCGCCCTTCAGGGCGGCTTACAATGCGTTAAGCAATAGCCTTCATACTTTCGTATATACCTGCTTAGTAGGGCTTTCGGGGGCCCCTAAGCGGTGTTCTTTTTTTATACAAAGTCAGTTTATTGCCCCCACAATCCAGGTCCTCATTTTACCTACCTCGAAAGGATGGAAGGCTGGTGAGCCTGGTGAGATTCAGGCTCCAACTTTGAGCCTGGTGAGATTCGAACTTGTAGTAATTGCAGGCAGCTGGTGCTACTTAATAGCACTTTAGTCTGCTGCGCCACCAAGGCTCTTTTTCATATGTAAATGATTGTGGTTTATTCCAGTTCTAATGATAAATAGGCTCAAACTGAAGTGCTTTGGCTGTGGATTGGTGATAGCAGGATTATAAAATTAAACTTTTTAAAGTCACCTTTGCATTTAGGAATCACTGGTGGTGTCCCGTTACAATGGATGACAAAAGCCGATTGGGAAGAATTTGCTGCCAGGACATATCCTGTTCTACAGGTGAGCTCAATAGAATGACCATGTTGCACAAATATATTTTCAGGTGCATCGATTTCATCTTTAACTTCTATCTTCTGGCTTTCCAGTTCAGTCCTGGGGATCATACAAGGATCTGACATGAGAAAGAAAGGAAATCCTGTCAGGATCCAAATGCATCATATTATCATTGCAAAATGTTAATAGTAGAATTTAGTTTTCATCTACTAGCTACTTCACCTCAGATACAGAAATGAAATCAAATATAAAGAAGAGCTGATTCAGGCAAGCCCAATTAGATGATTTTTAAGCAAGAGAGAAAGAAGGCAGTGAATTTTAATGATTAGAAATGCTTATGGAAATTGAATGAAGATTTTCTTTTCTACTTACCAAGGCAATTGGGCACCTTTGTCCAGGTCCCATTGTTACAAAAAGATCTGTTCTGGCCCTCCATGGCATAATATGTTTGGCATCTGAATTCTACTGAAGAGCCAGATCTGTACTGCTTCTTAGATAAAGTAATAATGTCTCCGTTCTCAGTCCTGGGTGGACCACTGCAGTTTTTTCCTCTCTCTATTAAATAGAAAAAAAAAATAGGCCAGGAAATGTTAGCTGGAGTTGCTGACATTCCTTAAAATAACAATTACAAAAAAAATGGTTTAAAATTATTATTATTTTTAATTTTTCATAAGTTATTACTTACTTAAGTATTGTGAAATTCAGAATAAAAACACAATCTACACCAGGGGTGAAATCTAAAAAATTTTGCTACAGGTTCTGTGGGTATGGCTTAATTAGTGGGCGGGGCTTGATGGTAAGGTGATTGGGTGGGCGTGGCCAAGTCAATGTCACTTCTTTGCCCTTTTTTAACCTACAAAACACAACACAACACAACTGCTCACCCACAATGTAAAAGCATTTGTGCTAGACCCAAAATGGCCCCTGCAACAAGCAGGAACCTCACACAGCCACAAAAAGCCCAAAAAACCAACTTTCACACTTTACACACACAAAATTCCACATACAGTTTTGTTTGTGTAGTTAGAGTGAAACACTACAGAAACACACTAAATCTCAGAAAGCTGCACAAATATTATTTTATTTTAATTTATTTTTATTTTTATATAAAAGCAGCTAAATTTAAAACTTCCTAAACTTTAAATGGCTAGGTCTAAAAAAAGAACAACTAAAAAAAACCCGCAATTAACTATTTTTTTTAAAGCTCCCAAAGGGGAAAAAAACTTATCCAATAGAACAGGGGTCTCCAACCTTGGCAACTTTAAGACTTGTAGACTTCAACTCCCAGAATCCTCAGCCAGCTTTGCTGGGAGTTGAAGTCCACAAGTCTAAGCAGGAAGGCAGGCAGGCAGATAGAGCTACTCACCGATGAGCTTGATTGCAGGCAGGGAGATTCAGTTGCTTGCTGATGCAATGGATGGTAGGTATTACAGCAAGCGAAGCAAGGCAGGCGTTGCGACCAGCAGCTAAGGTAAGCAAGCTGGAGGCTGGGGAGGGGGAGGGGGAGGGATTTTTGCTACCGGTTAGCAGGCAACTCAGCTGGGATCATCAGAGCTTGGCTCGTCAGAGCCATTTAAAGGGGAAAAAAAGGCTCTGATGATCACGCGGCTCAGCTGGGCATGGGGGGCGGGGCAGGGATTTTTGCTACCGGTTCTCCAAACTGCCAACCGCCATCGCTACCTACTCACCCGAGCCGGTCCGAACCGGGAGGATTTCACCCCTGATCTACACCTCAATAGAGCACAAATGCACCTAAATGTTCATGACCACTTTTTTTTTTGCTATACATTGATACATAGAGCATCAATTTTGCTCTATGTTGTCCAAGATCTTGACAGAAATATATGATGTAATAGTATGTAGAAATGATCTCAGGACAAAAGGAAAAGAAATGCAGCCAAGGGAACCATCAGATAAAAGGCAATTTAGCCCTTGCCCAGAACAGACAGGGCAAGTGGTTGAGAAGAGACCCTCCCAGTTTCAAGGGCTGTAAAGGACACAGGGGGGAAGGAATGTACTTTAGGATTGCAGGATTCTATTAATGTAACTCTATAGAAAATTAGAATTAGCTAATCTGATCATTCATCCTGTCTGGGTCTACCTTGCAACACTGACACATAATGATTCTCCATTAAAGACCGTAAAGGATAATATTCAGTTAAATTAATTATTACACATAGATAGAGGTGCAAATAACTGCATAGTAATATCAGTATTATATAATTGCTCATTCCATTGGAAAAAAATAAATTAACTTTTACTTTTACAGGATCTGTAATGCTCTGGCCCTCTTATGTAGATATTTCCAACTTTATATTTTGTTGTTTCACTTGTTTTAAACAACATGCTAACAATTTATCTGCTTATTCAATTTACATCACTTTCCGATGATTTTATAAATGTGTTTCTTAGGAGAAATAGTTCTATCAGATTGAAAATGCACAAGATTTAGACTTCCACCTACAAATAACAATAGCACCTCACAGTGCTATTCACACTGCTTCACAGTGCTTTACAGACATCTCTTGGACTGAAGGGGTTTTAGAGGGGATTTTAATGGTTTTTATAGTTTTATAGTTTTATTGTGTATTTTTAAAGGAAGGATTGGACTGTATGTGTTTTATTGTTGTGAGCCGCCCTGAGTCCTTTTGGAGATAAGGCGGCATATAAGTCCAAATAATAAATAAATAAATAAATAAATAAATAAATAAATAAATAAATAAATAAATAAAATAAAATAAAATAAAATAAAATAAAAAAATCAAATCAAATCAAATCAAATCAAATCAAATCAAATCAAATCAAATCAAATCAAATCTCTAAGCAGTTTACAGAGTCAGCATATTGCTCCCAACAATCTGGCTCCTCATTTTACCGACCTCAGAAGGATGGAAGGCTGAGTCAACCTTGAGCCGGTGAGAATCAAACTGCCAAACTGCTGGCGGTTGGCAGTCAGCAGAAATAGCCTAAAGTACTACATTCTAACCACTATGCCACCATGGCTCTTATAAATGACGATGAAGGGACCGAGTGACAATTTTAAAAAATATCTTCTGGACTAATTTTTTGTAGAGCTACAAAAATTATCATAACAATCTGAAAATTCAATGTCTTCAAACAAAGAAAAATAAAATATCCTTCATCACCCAAACCTATGGAATTATTAATTAAATAATAATACCAGTCAGATCAATATTAACATGACTATATGATTAATTCATCCAAGCAATTTCAAACAAAAGAGATTTTGCATCATGCAAAATATGGGGCTCCTTTAATGATATGACATAAACTTATTTTTATACAACCTTTGCAATTTTTGAAACATATTCCTATGTCTACCAATATTATACATATCTTCAACCACATGGAATCATAGTTCTTAGCTGAAGTTCAAGAGTTTGGGAAAATATCAGAACATCCTTCCCCAATCTGATGTGCTTCAGGTTTCTTGTTTTAGATTACAACTACTAAAATTCTAAACCAAGATGTGAATGATGTCAGTGAAGATTAAATCATTTTTAAAAGAATAGAATTTTAGGAGCAAATGTTCATGTTCATTATATTAATTATTTTAATCAGTTACAATCCCAGAGGAATCCATCATATTGACAGCATGCTTACCAGAGATACATAAAGGCAAATCCATGTAACCGTCAACACACTTTCTGACTGATGGAACCACGAGGACATAGCCTTCATTACACTGAAACCGCAGACTCTGATTATTTTGAATAAGCCGAGCTTTTCTTTGATTCCCAAACACAAACAAGTTTTTTGCTGCTAGCTGTTGTCTTGTGATACTGCAGGGTGCTAAAAAAGGGAAAAGAAGGTAGATCTTCTGAAGGGAGGTAATTTATCCATTTGTTTCCCTCTATTCCACTACCAAGAAAATCAACCCAGTTTACCAATCACAATGGATAGTTCCAGGTCAAAATCAAATAAGCCAAATTAGAGTACAATATTAATGATAAACAAGTTATGATTCTGCTATAGTTTTTAGACCTTTCACAGAGGACTGGCTTGTAGGAGCATGCACAGACAGATGATGATGTTGTTTCTTTCTAGCTAAAAACAAACAGCCCAATTCAGAATTTTCTGCAAAGACATTTTGAGTTGGCTGAGTTGTAATGGAACAAAATTTGAGACAGCTATTCTATTGAAATATGATGCAAAATTTCTCAACTTATTTAAGCAGAGAAGATTAGTCCTTGGCTTCCTATATTTCATTTTATTTTTACAATTTTTCCTTTATTGAAGAGGTTAAAATACAAAATCCCAAAGGAAAAAAAAATAGAGACAAAACAAAGCCAGACAAAACCATTTTTAAAAAGGTGAATTAAAAAAAGACAAAAACATATATTATCGCCCTAGTTGGATACTGACAAATCTATTGCAACAATAATAACTCCCCCACCCCTTGCAAAGCAGGTCCAAAATTTCTAAACTTGTACATCTATTTGTAACCCAATTGACCTGTGATACATTTCATATATGTTTTTTAAAAAACAGTTTAAACAACAGCAAAGTTAAAGTTCAAACCACTCTGTTAAAAGTATGTTTTGGTATTTACCAGAAATCACCCTGGTCATTATCTCTTGAGTCCAGCGTCAAATGTTTGGTTGTTATAATGTAACGTTTCCTTAGCTTTTTAATTGGGAACTTTCCCAAGAATTGCATCTCATTTCCAAAGTTCACAAGTCTCTGTGTAAGGACCTGCACCAACTGTTCCTTCAGGAAAGCTTTAACTGCTTGCTACATTGAGTTGAATCAAAAGAATTTTTACTGAGAGAAAGTGGTTGCAGTAAAGTCAGGCAGAATATGAAGGTCCCATGCAAAGCACAAAGCAATTCTTCCATTATCCCAAAACCCAAACCCCGTGACCAGTTCGCCAATGTGATGCCACAGGGATGTTTTGAGAATGCTGAGGTACTTGGCAGATAACAAGTCACTCTCAGGACTTGATGGCCTTGGAATCAAGCTGGAACCAGCTGAGAGGGAGTCTGCTCCATCTCTGAAGACAACCCCCCTCCCTGATTCCCAAGCAGTTCAGCAAAAGTGAAAGCATGCAAAAAATGCCAGCAAGCCTTCCTTCAACAGAATGGCAGGACATGATGGTGGACCTGACACTCTGTTGTAAATATCTCTGCAACATCCACTGTTGAATAATTCTCCTTAACAACACAACATTGCCCTTGCCACAAAGTCTAGTCTATCTTTCATCATATCCATTGTCTCAGAATTTCTTATATTCATATTTTTTTCAATCTTTTCTGGCAAATCTATATTTTTTCAATCAAGCACTTCCTTCTTCACATCTTACAGAAACTGTTTGGGTTCCAATTCCTCAAATTGTTATTTCCTGCTTTTGGATCTCATCTTGAGTTTGCACAAATGTTATTGATCCATCAATTTTTTGGTTTATATTTTCAAATAAGTGCATTCTTTTTGCATTTCCTTCCCAAAAAATTATTTCATTTGAAAGCATGAGAAACACTTTCTTTCTCTATTCAAGGACAAGAGCAGCAGATAAACAGATAAGTTGTAACAGCTTTCAAAATGCAAGGCATCCCACACCCCGGGTTAAAGAAAGGAGAATTTTCCCATCAAAAATTAAGAAATAAATAACAACAGCCTAATATCTGGAATCTTTAATTCCCCAATGGGACCAATGTTGGGGAACTGGAGGAAAAGCTACTACCAAGATAAGAGATACATTCCCTCTTTGAAGGAGATGGGCAGTTTAGAAATATGAAGAATGGATGAATTAATTAATCAATCAATCAATCAATCAATCAATCAATCAATCTGAGTCTTAGTCAGAAATATTTTAGTGATGGTATTTTGTCCTCTGAATAATCTTTGGAGAAACTGTACTGAATTGTTTGATCTTCTGTTATCTCACAGAAAGATAGTCAGAGAGAATATGGGAATGTGATGAATTATCCACAAGGAGGGTGGGATCTAGTTTGTGTACTATTAATACAGAAGAAATGATAGTGCAGGAATCTTGTCAATTTTGCTGAATTAATCCTAATTGCTAGACTCGAATATTTTTCTTCTTCAGAAGTGTAAACATATCAAGCATTCTAATTGGCTGGACTTCATAGCAACAAAATTCACTTTCCTACCTCATTAACCATTGATATTGTATCCATATGTAGCTGAATTCCACAGTTTCTCAGATTCCTAATAAGTGAGCACAAGCTTCCAATTTAATATTATTTAATTATATCAACTGATTTGCTTCCTCATTCAAGCAAATCAGGAAAATGAAACACAGTTCATTTTTCCAGATTTCAAACGAAAAAGCTGATACCAGAACAGTTTTGGCTTCAGTAAAACCTGGATCCTAATTTAAGCTAATTTATTTTTAAATTGGCAGCTGTTATTCTCCTATTGAATGAAATCTGTATTTTCTCCCAGGTCTACACTAGTCAAAGAAAGCATGATGGCTTACCCAAGCATTTTGGTGGATGAGGTGTCCATTCTTGTCCCTTACACTGAATCCATTCAGGTCCTTCCAAGACATAAACAGGGTTGCACCTGTATTGCACTCGGTCATTTTCCAAATACTTGGCTTTCTCAGCGCTCACAATTTCCCCAAAGTCAACCTCATCTGGTTCGTCACATGCTGAAATTATATTTACATTAAGTTATCTTACCTGCTTTGACAAACTTCCTCTTCCTATTTACCCTTATGAGCTGCGAGCTAACCAATTTCCCTCCTAGATAATTAGTTCCCACTTTTGTCTAAAGTAGCAAACGAGTACCTGTTACACACTTAATAGTCCTCAACTAATGACTCATTGTTTAATGACCTTCAAAGTTCCAAAGGGGATGCTTACAACTTGGATTTGAAATTCCAGCAGTTGCCCACCCCAATGGTGACATGACCACGTTTTGGTCACTGGGAAACTGGGTTGCATTTATAAACACATGACCTTGTGTTATGACAGTTTTGCCAAAAACCTACACTGATTCCCAGTTTTTGGCAGACCTCTGCCCATGGCGAATCATTGCTTTTCTTAACAACTATGAATTTGTATAATGACTAGAGTAATTTGCTTAATGGCAAGTACAAAAAGATCATAAAATTGTCATGGGAGTTGACTCACTTTAAGATCATAACAAGTTATGACAGTGATGGGGAGGTTCCACATGGGTAATAACTCAAGAACTACTTGTAATATGTTAGCTTTTCTTGCTGATGCCTAATCTAAGCAAATCTAGGTATAGGGAGGTAGAGAGAGGTTTTCCCTCTCTCCAAATTTTCCCCCAAAATATGTAATTCTATGGAATTTTGTTCTTGCCAGCATGTTGGTTTACCCTGGTTGGTCCTTTGAGAAATCTTTCTGACAGTTGAATTGGATTTTCATGATTAAACCTTTCTCAGTTGTAATCAACCTGTCTTCTTTCCCTGTATACTTTGTCAGCAACATCTGACCAAAATTTTTAATGCTTCCTTTCCTAGAGATATTAAACCATTGCTTACTACTATTAACCTTGATATTAATTTCTCAATACGTATTATCTATAGTTGTTTGTTTTTATCAGGTCTAAATGCTGCCACACAGAATTTTTTCTGTAGTTTTTAACACTCTCATGTTCTTCCCTTGTTCTTCTTTCTTTAGAAATACATAAATAAGAATGCAAATATACATTTCAAATCCGCCACACTGGGTAGAAACAAGGGAAGAAAATAATTGCCAAATAACTATATCTAACCCTTCACCTAACATATTTGAAAGTAAGAGCCTAATATGGGATAACACTCACTCTACTGATGTGTTATCATTTAATTTTGCAATTATGGAGAAAGGAATGCCTTCTATGTTCTCTGTTGATTGAGGCCAGTTCCAGTTCTCCTCTTCTTTGACTTTTGTAACCATGAAAAAACAGTGATAAATATATGATTGGCTCAAATGTATGAATATTACTATGAATATCAACAAATACAGTCTTAGCTTCAATGTCTACTGAAGTCAATATTCAGTAGAAAAAAAAATATTATCCTCATCTTCTTGCGAAGGATATAATCACTGTGAATTTAGACTTCCACTGATTTCTTTGTATTTATCCTGATGTAAACGTATCTCTATAATTTCAAACACTGATTTATGAAGCCTCATCTTAGACATGGTAATCTCTTGGTTATTATCATATCAAGTTCCTTATTAACTGAAACAAAGAGCCTCCAAATGGGCATGTATTTATAATACTCATACAAAGTATCTTGCTATTCACAAATCAGTTGCTGAAAAACATTGTATTTGAAAAGAGGATTGGAATTATAAATCTATGACATTATTAAAGAATCTGGTATTACAAATTTCAAGAAAACCACAAGAGAAAAATGAAATTGTTTGTGTTTTCTAAAAGTAACTGGTCCTTTAATGAATCCAGCAGACACTGTTTTCTCCTTGATTTCTCGTTGTCTTAACTTACCCTTTTGAGAAGAGCAGCCTGGCCAGAGAAGAAAAGCAGCAACCAGGAGCAGCCAGGCCTTCATAGCTCTTCAGGTAATTTCCCAACCACTAAAATTCAGATCAGCAGTTTGGCTCTTTCAGCTGATTTCTCCGAGCTACTATCATCCCTTCCTCCTTTTTGCTTGTTGCTTTGCTTTTTGTTAGGAAAGCTGTGAAGAGGAAGCATTACTGGAATAAGAATATGATCTTGATAGCTAAATGAGGACTTAATGAGAGCTTTGTGAACTTTGTGTTGTGGTTGGACAGCAAACAAATTAAGTAATAGTTCAACTTTTCAGGCAGTTTTTTCAGAAGGAAAAAAAAATACTTTCATTCCATTATTGAGCATTAACCCATTGTTGGGTTAATTCCCAAGCAGCAGCTAACAACAAAATTATTATACATGACTTTTATGAAAAATTCTTTTACAATCTTCAGCAACATGCAATTAAACATTAGCCAATCATATCAGGGAAACTGTTGCTACAATTTGGTACCAGTTGTTTTTTCACCAAATACCGCAGATCTAGGATTGGGTTGAACTTCAACAAATATCTAGAAGGTCAAAATACTAACAACTCTGGATAATACAAGAGAGAACATAAGACATGCTTCCTTGTCAGAAGGATACAAGATCTATCCTTCTCTTATTAATCAGGAAAATTCCCCTTTACAAGGAAAAAATTGATTTTACATTTCGTTTCCCTTTTTCCTGTTTTGTCTTTAAGAGAAAATATGTTGTCAATATTTTAAATTATTTTCTTAAATTCAAAACTCTCATTTTTATAGGTGTATAAGAAAAATTCTTTGCTGCAAATTCCATCTAACTTCTATGAAGAAAACAATATGTATTATCATCTTTCTTATGCAATTTGAATTGAGTCAAAAAGATCCCCTCATTTTTTCTCTAATGTAAACCAGGGGTCCCCAAGCCCCAGTCCATGGACTGGCATGGGCCATGGCATGCCAGAAACCAATCCGCGCAAACAAGTGAAGCCCCATCCACGGGATGCAGGCAGCAGGTGAAACCATGCCCCCTACGGGCTGTGGAAAAACCTTTCTCCATAGAATTTGTCCCTGGTGCCCAAAAGGTTAGTGGCCACTGATATAAACAGTGTTTATCTCCCACAGGACCTATAGAGGAAAAAGGGAATGGCCCGGGAGGACAAGAAGAAGAGCCATTACAGGGACAAAGTAATGAATGCAATAACATGTCCAAATGTTCTTCAGAGGAGAAATATTTCCTAGCATTTCTCTATAACTTTCATGGTACACAACCTATTTCAAAGATGTTCTGGAAGGCTGCAGCTGCCTCACAGTGGAGTTATTAGATAAAAAGGAGGACCAGGCATATTTGGATAGCACATTAATAATTGTCAAGAGAAACTTTTTTCTATGGTTTTCCTTAGAAAATTTGGAAGCATCTATAGAATCAGATTGAATTGATGAACTATGTCAGTCACCACTGTTTTATTTCTAGCAAAATTAATTCTTGGAGACTTATGAAGAATATAGGCATCTTATCTGAAAGTCATATCTTGGTTAGAATTTAATCATGTTTCCTTCCCTCCTGAAAAAGGGATTTATACCACTATAATTCCCCTCACACAAATATTTCTTCGGAATATTTTCATACTTCATTCTAATGCAGTGGTTCTCAACCTTCCTAATGCCGTGACCCATTAATACAGTTCCTCATGTTGTGGTGACCCCCAACAAGGGGTGGGTTCTAAAATTTTTTACTATCGGTTCTGTGGGCGTGGCTTGGGCGTGGCTTGGAGGTCATGTGACTGGGTGGGCGTGGCTAGCTGGTCGTGTGACCGGGTAGCCATGGCTATGTGTATAGGGACTACTCAGAGGGCTGAAAAAAGTCATTTCTGACAGGTCCTCGCACTTTTGACTGGTCCTCACACTTATGACCATCCTCACATTTATGCCCGTGCAGCATTCTTAACAACCATGTCACTCATTCCACAACTGCTTCTCTTCACCATGGTGATAAGATAGGGCAAAAAACGTAAAATGTGAGGACAGTCGTAAATTCGAGGACTGGTCAAAAGTGCGAGGACCAGTCAAAAATAACTTTTTCAGCCCTCTGAGTAGTCCATGTGCACAAAAGGACTATTCAGAGGGCTGAAAAAAGTGATTTCTGACAGGTCCTCACACTTTTGACTGGTCTTCGCACTTATGACTGGTTATCATGCCCATTGTAGCATTCTTAACAACCGTGTCACTCATTCCACAACTGCTTCTCTTCACCATGGTGACAAGATAGGGCAAAAACATAAAATGTGAGGACAGTCGTAAGTTTGAGGACTGGTCAAAAGTGCAAGGACCAGTCAAAAATAACTTTTTCAGCCCTCTGAGTAGTCCATATGCATAAAAGGATACAGTAATAGAGAGGGATGAAGGAAGGGAAGGGAAATTAGAGTAGGAGTGAGGGTAAGAGAGGGAGGAAGAGAGGAGGAGAAGGAGAAAGGAAGAGGAAGTAGGGAGGAGAAGAAGAGGGGGGAAGAGAAAGTAAGAAGGAAATAAAAGAGAGAGGTGGTAGGTTTGAGGAGAAAGATTGCTGTACAATAAAAAAGATGAAAGGGAAGAAAGCCAACCCCAAACAAATCTAAAGATATTAAGATAAAGAATGAATTGTTAAACTTTAAAGAATAAAAGAGAACAAATAGGAATAAATAGCAATAATTAGAAACACACACACAAACATACAATGTATTTTCTTTGAACAGAGTATTTGGCCGGTTCACAAATTTAAACTGTTTAGTCATTTCAATTAAATTTACAATTTCTAAATTTGCTTTTTGCCATATTTATTCCTCATCTATTTTTTTAAAAAACCAATATTACCCTTCATCCTCATCTCTAATCTTAATGAAATTCAATTTTTCCCTTCTATTCTATATTATACCCCTTCCCATTGTCATTTATTTTTATATCCATCCTCATATTGGTTAATTATGTAATATTACAGTTGTTTAATATATTCAACATTTTAATATAAATCAATTAGTTATATAACTATCTTTTTTGTATATTAATCAATATGAACATGAATATTCCAATTATTTCCTTGCAATCCAATTTCTTACAAATCAATTATGTTTACCAATAATAATAAACCAAATAATTTCCCCCATATATTCCTCCAAACCACAACTTAACCATTTCTGCTTTCAACACAATATACAATTAATACTATCTCAATTATTACAATTCCCTCGTTAAATAGAGCTTTTTTTCTTTTGTGTTTTAAAATCTTGAACTCCACTTTTGCCCTAAATTTCCCATTATTTGCACCTACCTTTTATGGTGAGGAAAAAGAAATCTGCTGCCTGATTTTCCAACTTTGCAGCAAACAGCAAAGCCAACAGCCTGTTTTACTTTCAGTTTCGTTTTGAGCTTGGTTTGCACAAGGAGAAAAAAAAATCTGAGGCAGCAATTTAGCAAGCAGCAGAGCCCTGTGCAAAACAGCTGAGAGCAAATCAGCTGAGAGTCGGGAGATCTAATCAACGGGCTAATTAGCCTATGCTGAAGCTCTGTGGGCCAATAAAATTACAAAAAAAACACCGAACCATTTGTTAAATTGCTGGCTTGCCCGCCCCTCGCCCACCACTATTTATTGGCAATAAATAGTGGTGCGGAGGGCCAGGCGAGCCAGCAATTTTACAAACGTTAAGGCCAAACTGCCTAGAACCAGCAAAATCCCACCACTGGGTGAGGTGAGTGAAGACGTGGGGGGTGAGAGAGGGCTTTGGCGACCCCTGTGAAATGGCCGTTCGACCCCCAAAGGGGTCGCGACCCCCAGGTTGAGAACCGCTGTTCTAATGAAACATCACTGACAAATAATTTTTATTTCCCTTTAACATATGTTTTTATTAGTATTTCAGAGTTGAGAGGACATAAATAAAACATAAGAAAAATGTTCCTAAATTCTAGATCATAAAAATCTTCAAAAAATTTGTGATGGCTGTGATTGCCACCAGTATAGAGGTAGTCCTCCACTTACGATAGTTCATTTCGTGACACTTCAAAGTTAAAACGGCACTGAAACTTATGACCATTTTTCACAGTTATGACCTTTGCAGCATCCCCATGATCATGTGATCAAAATTTAAATGCTTGGGAACTGGTTCATATTTATAACTATCACTGTATCCCAAGGTCATATCATCTTTTGGTATCTTCTGACAAGTAAAGTTAATGGGGAAGCCAGATTCACTTAGCAACTGGGTTACTAACTTATCAACTGCAGTGATTCCCTTAACAATTGAGGCAAGGAAGATCACAAAATGGGGAAAAACTCACTTAACAAATGTCTCTCTTTAACAAAAAAAAAATAGCTCAATAGTGATCATAAGTCGAGGAATACCTGTTTCAAAGCAGGGTGCTTTTAGTTGCCTGCTGCCTATCTAGTATTCAGAGGCTGCAAAATATAAAACATAGTCCATTATTGTGCTATGTCTACCACCATGCTTTAGTGAACAATACATAAAAAACAGTTACTTAGCGGCCAGGTGCCCATTTCACAGGCTTGGTAAGCCTCACAGGAGATGTCTTCTGTTGTCCACTGTTGCTAATCAGTAGCTTTACAACACAGTTTGCAACATCCATGCAAGTTGGGCCTGAAGTAACCATTTTATGTATTAAAGCCTCAGCACCAGGTTTTCTTGCCTTCTATGAAAATATGTCTTGAGTTGCCCCACATGTTGGTGATGTCTAACTTTGTAAAAAGTTTTGGAGAATCATTAAACTCTTCTTTGGAATCTGAGGCTGCATATTATTTCTCAAAAGCAGGCTGGAGTTTTTAAACTGCAGAACTTCACAGCCACCTGTGGCTGAGGCACTAATAAAGCGCTTGTGAAGAACCACAGCCTGTAGCTAAGACACAGTTAAGGGTGCCTGTGTAGAATCACAAGTCTGCCAAATCTGAACATGCCCAGTGACCATGCTTGGAAATACATGGACACCCACCCTGCAGCCCTGTGCCTGGGTTCACTTTGTGCAGAACATCTTCAATGGATCAGTCTGAATTTGTATCGTTTTTTATTAGTTCATTAGGAACATAGGACATAGAATAATAGAGCTGGATAAGACCTTGGAGGTGTTCTAGTCCAGCCCTACCCAAACAGAAGACCCTATACCAGTGGTTCTCAACCTTCCTAATACCACGACCCTTTAATACAGTTCCTCATGTTGTGGTGACCCCCAACCATAAAA